ACGTCGGTCTCGCGAGATTTGGCTTGGGCCTGAAAGATCACCTCCCAAGAGAAGTGCTCCAAATGTCTATCTGGTACAGAATTCCTTTTTCTTCCAAGGTATAGATGTCTTGCACGATTTTTTCATGTATTTTGATAACAATTAGTTATATTAACAATCACATGAAGACAAAATCATTCGTCCAAATGATTGGGGGTCCTTCGGTATGACTGTCGTCTGAATGACTCACCAGCATTACACTTGTCCCCCTCTCCGGGGGCTATCCCTCATATGGTAGTTGGCCCTTCGCAGGTTCTTATGTCCGATCCCTTTGTAGAGGAGACCACTCCTGGCGACTCTTTCAGAAAAAATTGTACCCTTATTCCATTGATCTAGACAGAACACTTGAAATCGTCACTCAGACGTAATATCCTTTACAGTTTGATCTTTCTGGAGAGGCACATTCGTACATTTTTCCCCTCACGCTATACAATAGATTAACTAGGAGTTCGTTCCTTCCAGAACAGAGGTTACTAGTGAACTACACTTTGAGAGATCAACCGAAAAATGGCCCTTAAGGATGATTTATCCTGGCGTTTTTCTTTGGAACAAGCCGGTGGCTGAGTTGTTATGTGAATAAGATCAATTTCTGGGCCAACCCGCAAGTAGCGCATTCAATCCAATTACTGAGTCATCCAGCCCATAAGGAGTACTCTTAGCTAGAAAAATTTGAGATCTTTAAAATGACCTTGCGTGCCTTTTGCTTGAAGCATGATAATTTGGCTTATACTGCTTCAAACGCCCTCATAATCATGTCATGTTGCTAGTACGAACCACTTTGTGTTCTGACTGTGTGTGTCGGTCTACCGTGATCCAATGTGGCGTCATTGCATATTAATGTCGAGTCACATGGTAAACTCTTCCTTTGGTGGATGCTCAGGTGGATGCGTTTTATTGCTCCAACCATTTGTAGAGGTGAAACTATTCACAGCATGCTCATGCGCAGATTTTGACCCATTCGAGGGTTTCTACTGTCATTCCAGTTGATAGTTGCAAAGCGTTGGGCTCCCTAACGTAGTTTTTCTGACTTTTGCAATGGTAACGATTTTGGTTGACGGTAAAGATGGTCTTCTTAAGGAGCTGTTTTCCATTTTGCACGGCGTATAAATGGTTCCAGGTTAGTGTATTGGTTTCGGTGTCTCACGGCATTATTGCATTATTGATATCTCCAAATCTTGATATACAACACGGTCTGCTCATACATTCGATAAAGGGTATTTCCCCCAACTGGAACTCCACCACCTTGACCCCTTCCCGTGAATGGTGCTTTTTCGGGGAGATGACGACTTCTTAAGATGTTAGCGTCTTCATATTTCTTGCTGATGCGACCACCCTGCGATTCACATTAGGGCAGTTCACCAGTCTGTTAAGTTATCGAGGCTGTTTTAGTTTCTTCAGATGAAACTCACAAATACCAACGAACTGGACAGTCATGTCAACGCTATAGTGCCTCAGATCAACAGCGTTGACCCTGACTAAGTTTGAATTCATGTCCACGCTACGCAGGTGGATACTGTAAATTGTTCTTTCCCAGACACGTATCATCCCGAATAGTTATACAGGTCTGCTACCAACAAACAATGCAACGCTTTCGAAAATGATATTTCAAGTATATGTTTCCAGCAAGTGTGGGCTGATATGTACAATCGTAACGGTAGAACTTTACCGTTATTTTTAACCATAGACTTCATTTAAATACTGACATCTTCGGGGTTGGGAGGGGGGTGTTCCGAGTGGTTAGAGCGCGAATTTACTGACCGGAAGGTTCGTGGTTCGAACCCAAACTCTGCCCCGTCTAGTCTTTGGCGACCTGGCAGTATTCCAGCCCTCGTGCTTCCTCCGGGTGGCATGGTTGCTAGGCACCGGAAGGGTGTTACAGCTGAGAGGTTTTTTCGGGGTTGTATAACTGGGGTTAAGACACTCCATGGCTATTCATCCTAAAATGTTTATAACCAATATACAAAACTTCGTGCTTATTCGCAGGTGCAAAAGCACACCGAGAAGACGCCACGGCTGACTGCTGTCGGTTCCTACCACTGAACACTTTATGCATAGAGTTTGTACAACCATAATCCGCTAACTTTTAAGACGATGCTGGTTTACAAGCATTGAAAACTCGAATTTGTCAACCGGACTTTGACAAGTGGGTGATCTTTTTTCACTGAGTTCCAGTGTGATCCTTGCCCAATACCGAATAGAATAAAAATAAGCGGAACTCAATGATTCCAAGTAACCGGAAGCTCTGTTTCTACGACTATCAGGGCGCAAGCACAGTGAGTGAGACTGTGGTCGATCGACTGCAGTCTCTTCTACCTTAAGAGTTATGCCCTTTTCCCAGGCCAACTGTCGCACAACGTGTGCGGTACAGTGTGCTACACGTTGACTACCGTCGTGGTTTTATCGAGCAAACTATGTGGCATCCTACGAGCAGTCTTTGGCGTAATACTGAATGTAGAAAAGTCGAGCTTGCCAGGGCAATCGTTAGAAAAATTACGAATACTGATCTTCGGGTCATTAGGTCACAGAGTTCACTTAAACCCTGTTTTGCATGAATACTGGACTGCATGTAGATGGCCAGAATTGTATCATAGCCAGGTGGATGTCGGTTTTCAAAACAGATGGATGTAGCATTGTAACTACGATAACCGCAACAGATTGATGCACAAACGAAGTCTAATTCGTGTGTACGTTTCATCGTCAAGACCATTGCTGATAGTCCTTCAGAAATCGGGTGGTTTCAGACGATGTGGTCGTCAGATTACCTGCATCCTATCAAGTACGTTAAATTAGCGTTTCATCTCATAATTTCGCAAAATTTGCTAGGTTTTGGGTATGTCTACCGCAGACGGTTACAGTTATTTGTGGTGAATCACCAAGTAGCTTGATGTCTTTCTCAAACGATCTATGACACTTGGTACGCCTCACGTGGAATCTTCAGTTAATTTTTCGGGGCAAAATCGACTTCAGTCGATCCTGTTGGGTAATAAATTTCGCCCGGTTAAATAGCGTTTTTCTGTTACCATCTGATGTATCTTATCGATTTCTAATAATATGGCTATGTAGAGTTAGTTTTATGACGTCGGGAACAATTTTGGCCTGGTGAATGGCAAGCATACATTTGGAAACGAATATTGATCCTTTCGAATGTCAGTTAATCGTTAAATTCGAAAGATGCGATTCACGCAACAGCCAAGCTAAGATCAAAAATAGCTGTGGTCATATACTCTTGTGGCAGTTTTCTTTCGGATTTAATTTCGTTGTGTTTTAGGCAACTCGATCTTGCTCTGTCTCCCTTATTTTGCTTTCGTCTACTCTTCAATGTGGTTGGAAGAAAGTTCTGGAAGTCATCCTTAAAAAAACGGGGTGATCACGTAAATTTGCCGATGTGATCCTTGCCAGAGGAGGGAAGCTAGCTGATCCGTTTTTTGGCAGATACTTGCGACCAACTTGCCTACTTTCTCAATCGTGTAACATAAATTTTATGTTTGAGTGGGCGTTAATTGCATTTTTTTGTCATTTACGTGGAAGGGATGTGAATGTGATCTACATACTCGTTGCCGACTCTTCCTCACATGATTTGGTTCATTACAACGCGCTACTGTATTACGATGGTATAATCCCCACCCCGTATTGACTACTCTGCCTGACCTCACAGTGTTGTATGACAATGTTATCCTCGTCCAATCTACACAGTCAGCCACCCTTTGCTTCATGTTTGTTTCAACTGTCCGACCGATTGACTCCACTCGTCACACTAGTTGAATGTAAACATAGTCCCTGAATGTTACTAGTCCATCGAAATTCGAATGCCCGATCGATTTTACATTCACTTTTATCTATGATCGTTGGCATACCCTTGAAAACTGTTCTGTTTGCCGTTCCACTGAAGGTCTTCGACTGTTTACGACATCTGGACAATCGCTGATGGAAAGCTATCCATCTATACATATTTACATCGTCTTGTGTAACTTTACTGATATGCCTGGCATTCGAAAGCCACTTGCCGGAACATCTTTGCCGATATTTTGAATGTCGGCGTGTATTTTTGACTACGACACGGAGTCCTCACTTTTTTGGTTACTCTTTTTCTCGTGACTTTTTGTTCCAGCCGCCCCATCCACAACGGATACGATCTATTCTTGTACCATCTCGTTCTCCATCTTACAGGAAATGAACGCGACTTCTGAGACCGATGCGGTTGCGAATTTGCTCAAAAAGTTGTACAAAGAACTGCCGGCAGATTCGGTTTTCTGGTTTCTAAAGTGTTGGTTGTGCAGCGAGGACAGCCTGCAGGACCCAGACTCGTGTGTAATCAGTCGTGGGGATGCCAAAGGTCGCATGAGACGGATTGATGGGGGTAAAGGATCCGACAAAGTTAGTCGCACAGTTGCTCGTTTTTTTATCCAATCACATCACAGTGGTTCGTGTAAACTAGACTTAAAATCCTGTAAGCAACTTCAAACCAAGGCACACTTTAAAGAACAGGATGTTTTCCGTGCCCCGTGATGTTTTCACAGTGTTTCTACTCCCTGGTGCCAACAGCCTACCTTTTTAAGCAAATGGCCGGCGGGTACATCGTTTTAGGTCCTCAGTGTTCATCCCACAGTTCATAGAACACAGGAGAATGAGTTCGGTTGAGTGACCAACTCTCTGAGTAGATTTTACTGATAACAGGCCAATGAACTTCAGATTAAAGCATGGTGAGGTCCCACTCTTCGGAACATGAGTGCAGAACCTTCGCCTACAGCCTCGAGAATCAAATTTCCATAACACGGCTGAGGGCAACTTTCAACAACTGTCTTGAGTTACAGGTTTTCCTATATATTTGTGGCTTGTACGTGTTTCACACCAGTATTGTCCCTCTCAAAAACGAGCACACCCTTCGGGGTGTGAAAATAAATTCGTCGTGTAACACAATAAAAATCTGTTAAGATTGTTTCCGAAATTCGTTTTTCATTGGCATGCTCTTTGATAATAATAATAATCGTTCAGCTGTAGCACCCTTCCGGCGGACACAGAAAGCCAAAGAAATGGAAGAGGCCCAGAAAGCCGGTAATGCCCGGAGATTATTTCAGTTGATCCGTGCGACCGGTCCCCGGAAACCACCTGTGAGTGAAAGCATCAAGCATCAGAATGGAACGACCATCTCGAATAAGGAGGAACG